TTCAACCTAATTTAAAACTCATTGGCTCAATGCTGAAATAGTACTCAATTTCGTCAGAAAATATTCTAAAGTTCTTATGTTGTGGGAAATTTCTACCTGAGATATCTGGCAAAAATGTATACAAGATATATTCAACTTTTGAAAGGTGGAATACGAATTGATATATTTAACCACAAACTTTGATTTGTAATTTACTCTTACATTTAACAGCTGTTTATAACTGTACAACTAAGTTTTAGGGCAGTTTATTTAGTATGAGAATGTAGGGGCCCGTATAAGCCAGTTTTCTAGTGAAAAATACAATTACGAGAAACAACAATATACATAAAAACTTTATTGTTTAAACAATCATTAACACTTCATTTTCAATTTTTAATTAAAGCTGTGTAAACAACTTAGAGAGACCCCCAAACCGTTTTGATTCCTAAATAGGGCTCCAATTTAAAAATTTATAATAGCTGAATTTAAATTATTCTTTTGAACATCTTCCCAGCTAATACCAAAGTTCAATAAATTGGTTCAGTCAAGTCTGATACCTCACATTCCTCCTTGATATTCCATTTTTGGAACTGCACAATGACCCTTGCAGTTGTTTTTTCTCTGTATATATATAGTCTTTGAGGGGGGACAAAGGCCCAAATGAAAAACTTCAAATCTTTTTTTTAATATATGTTGGAAAAGTTTACACAACAATTAAACGTATAGGAACACACGTAGCTGCAACTAAGAATTATTATATAAATTTTGTGAATTTGTACAATAACTTAAGTTTGACATTTGATGTTCATATACTTCCATTCTAATTCACATTAGTATTCCTTGATCTACCTGTAAGTGACATTTGAAGATCTATGTCACATACCTTGCTTTTAATGATTACATTTAAAGATTCTTGTTGCATAACCCTGCTCTAGTTGAATTTGATATTTGGAGATCCATATTGGGAAACAATCAGATTCGATATACCTTAGGGTCTCCATTTTCTATTCTTCAGAAGACTTTGGTCATTTTCACAGAATTCGTACTCATTATTCTCGAACAGGCATTAATAAAACATTCATAACATTTAAATCCAAATGATGCAAATTATGGACAAAAGAACTCAGTTGAATTGTGTATTTGTTCAACTGTTTACGTTTTATTCATAAAGATATTCTGGATCTAAAAGTGTTCGACAAAGATAACTTACAGATTAGGTTTAGGTTCACAAAACTGTCTATTCAGTGATTGTTTTTTTTCTTTAATTTTATCCATTGTTCACTTTATTCACAACACCTGTTTCTTAATTATTGTTATTTTCCTTTAAATTTTGCTCCATTGTTCACTATACTAAATATTTTTAAAGATTTATTTTTGATGCACACCATTCTTTAAAGTAGATTTTCATTATATTTTAGAATCAAACAGTACTGGTGGAAGCTTGTGTATTTCACTTACTAATATTTTCTTATCAAGAAATAAATATATAATGTCATAAATTAATACACAAGGAAAAGTAAAACCTAAAGTGGTCATGATGTATTGAGTCATCCTCGCTATTATCGTCGTAATTCCAATAACTCGTGATTTTTGAAAAACGGAGGAGGTTCAGGTTTGCTGTAAGTTCGTGTAGTTAGCTAAAAATGTTACATGCTTTTCATAAGTGTAAATTTAGTATAACAACATGTAATTGCTTACAGAGCACATTAAAAACCGATCCTACAAGCTCACCAATACACCAAACCTAAATATAAGCGTTCATACATTACAGAAACGCACAAAGAAAACTCATCGATGGTACAAAAAAAGAGGCTGAAAATCATAAAATTAAACAACTAACCGTCTATACGGAGAATCATACCGATGTTATAACATTGATTCCTAATACACCAGAAATGTCAATAGAAAAAAAAAAGACGTGTGAAAATGCACAAAAAATTACATTGCCTTGACCATCGAATGTAATAATATTTTTACACGATACAGCTCAGGTTTGTTTGAGAAACCATTACACTTATTAATTAATGTAATGACAAAGCCTGTTTTTTAAAATCAAACACAATAAATTAAACCTTTCCTTTTTGTTCTTATTGCCTTCATATCCGAAGACGTTCACAAAGAAAACCTTTTCAGATCATGCCAGTTTATTGTCAACTATTATAAGTTACAATTTCCTCAGAATATGCCAGTTAATTGTCAACTATTATAAGTTACAATTTCCTCAGAATATGCCAGTTAATTGTCAACTATTATAAGTTACAATTTCCTCAGAATATGCCAGTTTATTGTCAACTATTATAAGTTACAATTTCCTCAGAATATGCCAGTTAATTGTCAACTATTATAAATTAAAACCATCTCAGACCCGATCATATGTTCATCAAATATTGAAAAATTTTCATATCGTACCAGTTTTTCGTCGACTATTAAAAAATGAGACTTCTTGGAATGCACCAGTTTCATTTTTAGCAATAACCTCTTCATGGCTACATTAACATGCAATTTCTTCGTTCAGCCAGAACGAAGTTTTATATTGATTGCGCAGTTTTATTTCGTTTAAATTATGTAAAAGTTTTATTAACAGAAAAAAAATATACATCAAATTTTGTTATTATTATTTTGATTTAACAATTATCTCTTTAAAAACAGTCAAAATTTTTATTTAAAGAGCAGGATTAGTCATTCATAACGATATGGGTGAAACTATGAATCACATGCCCGTACGAATATTTCATGCAAGTATTTAATTATTAATCATTCTTGTTGAGTATTCAGCTGTTGTTTTCTAATTACCATTAATTGAATCTTTTCTATTGTTGTACAGTTCTTTAGTGTTGAAGCTCAAAATTCATATTATCATCAGTAATGAATTTTACAGTTCATTATTGCTAAACACTATGAAATTGCTTCGTTTTTAATAATAAGTTATGATTATGTAGGACGTCAATCAAAAACTTAATGTTTTTGCTGATCTTTACATGCTTGTTAGCAGGGAGAAAATTACAAAACTGAGAATTATTTCAAAAACTCAATCCGTAATTTTATCTAAGCTAATTGCAAACCGTCCAACGATTGCAAACCGGGTTACTTTGTTTTAGGATTTTTCCTCGAGAAGGGGAATAAAAAATACCTTAAAATAGGACACATTTCTGATTTCTTAAACAGTTTTGATTTCCATCGCCCTCAGTTGATTAGCTCGATTACCGTAATTATCCTAGAAATTATCCTACAGTGTAAAGAGCTGTTTTGTTTTAGGATTTTTACCCTAGAAGGGAGACGCCTTGAAATAGTGTATTTCTACTTTTATTATAGATTTCGGATTTGAATTTAAATACACAAGTACTTAAGCAGTTAAATACTGTTTGTTTGTTTGTAATTAAGCACAAAGCTACACAATGAGCTATCTGTGCTCTGCCCACCACGGGTATCGAAACCCGGATTCTAGCGTTGCAAGTCCGCAGACATACCGCTGTGCCACTGGGGGGCAATCAGTTAAATAAGTCAAGTAGCATCTAATGAGATTATTAGGGATTTAATAGCAGTTAGTTTCTATAAAAACTGAATGAAACTTTTACATGCAATGTTGCATAAAATTTAACGCTCTAAGAACTTGTTTTAATATTGTATCTGTGATATACAATAATTTAACTTATTTTAGGCATCGGACCAATTGTCTCATTTTTTTTTACCAAACTATTTTAATCTCAACTTAGCCAAAACTTACGGAACAGTCCCAATACTGTACAAAGAAATATGTCTAATAAATAACTGTTCTGACCGACTTACGTTTGAATGACTACATATTGAACTCCTGGTAATTAATATATTAATTTCATGTTGTATATTTTTAAGTTTAATAAATGGGCAAGTTTACAACAAAAATAAAGTTTTAGGAAAATATTAGACTTATGCATTTCAAAACGTCGAAGTGTTAAGTATTGTTGCAAGTTTGTTTTTCACAACAGCCTTGTGTGCTGGTAATTATAATTTTTTGTCTTAGAAGAATCATTAAAGAAAACTTTGAAATGGAGGGGAAAAAATAAATTCTGAATTAATCAATATTTTTTTAAATTTCGATATGCTGGGATTTCTATCAAATTGAAAAGTATATAAAGAAAAAACAAATGTTGTTTTCAAAAACTCACCTTCAGGTTAACGGTAACCTGCGATGTTATGTTGTTTTATTTTACAAGACTGGGTGCTATTAGAAAGTATTTACGTTAACACTGTTTATTTCTCACCGACCTTAACAGGCGTGTTGTCACTGCTACCACATATCAGAACTTCGCAAAGTTTACTCTGTACACACGATCTACAAACATAACTCCTAGCAACCTATTGATACTAGTCGTGAAAGACAACTATTTGCCAGTGAAACTGTTTGAAGCTCAACCAATCCGCTTCTTTCCTCTTGATGATGTCATATCTGTGTGGGTGCAATCAGGCGAAAAAGCTCCAACTGACATAAGGGTGGGGTCTTCAACCAAGTTACATAGACTCCGCCCTTGGAAACGCCTTCAACGAAGGATTCCATCGTGTAAGGCTCAATTTCATCAACTGAAATGTTCACGAAAGCCCCCCCCCTCAAAAAAAAAAAGGAAGAATTGCTGACGAATGCTTCTTATCTTATCCTAATAAAATGTTCGTGAAAGCTAGTATATATACATAACAAAAAATGCTAAGGAAATGTTTCTTGCCTCATCGACAAGAAATATTCACAGAAGCAAAAAAAGGAAAAGGAAAAAAGAAGAACCGCTGAGAAATGTATCTAGCCTCATCGAAAAGAAGTGCCCTTGAAAGTGGAAAAAATGTAAAATAGAAGAACTGCTAAGGAATGCATCTAGCCTCATTAAAAGCATATGACCTATACTCCCCGATGTGTTTTAACCATCTGAACAATAATACTAAAACCAGGGAAATCAAACTCACACTTTCATAAACCATAGCATTCACAGAAATGGCTTCCTACGAATTACAGCTGTTTGGTTGTTTTAAAGAATGTTTATGGCTTTAAATGTTATTTTGTGCAACTTTTTAATTGCTTTGCAGAATGTTTGAACAATTGTTTGATTGCTTTGCAGAATGTTTGTGCAACTGTTTGATCGCCTTAAAAGGTGTTTGTTTGAAAATTAAAAACAATTTTGTGTCAGTTGGAGAATTGATTGTTACGGAAACTCCATGTTGAAAAAATATTATGAGTTATTTTTCAAGACGAATAACTTATGTAAAGAAATTATAGTTATTTTACTTTTAGCAAAATACAATGTTAAAACGTTATGCAACGTCATCAAGCTGATTAGATTGAACCAATTAACGTCTTTGGTAAAGCGATGTGTTGCTATGATTCCATATATTTAACATACAAAAGTACGACATTTCGTGTTTTTCTTTTAAAGTGAAACTATTTAGGATCAGTGACTACTATACTGTTTTTGTTATCGGTGAGAAACCAGACTGTAGTCTTTAACGAAATTAGACACCTGTTCCGAGTGAAAACAGACATTAGCTCTAAGTGAAATCAGGCAGTATTGTTTAATAAAAGCAAACTGCAGTCCTGAATGAATTTAGGCACAAGTCTTAGATGAAATCCAACTATATTTCTGAGTGAAATCACACTGTAGTCCTGAGTGAAAACAAACACTGCTCATGGTGAAATCATGTTGACTGTATAATCCTGAAAGAAATAAAACTACACTACCGGGCAAAATCACACACAATTCTTGATTTAAGCTGGATAGTAGTTTTTGCATTACGCACACACACACACATACACTCTTTCTTTTGTAAATGGCTTGAACTGGACGTGACTCACTGAACTAAGGTCTGGTTTGCGTCAAATTCGATAAATGTGAATTTCTGTGAAAATTTTAACTTCACGCTGTTCATTTAGCCATGAAGATGATGACAGATGTTATAGGTTTACTGCACGAGTTGTTTTTTGTTTTCCTGTTGGTGGATCCATTCTTGTCAAGTGTTATTTCCAGGTTAAAGAAGTGGCACAATTCCTGCTGTGCAACCGTCCGTTTTTCTAAACTTCATATTTTTTTATTTATTTTCTTAAACTCGTTTTTCTGTTTTTTTTTAAGAATATATATAATTTCTTATGATTTTTACTTGATGAGAATTCTCTATATTATATCATGCTTAGATTTTTCGCTCTATTTTATTCAGCAATTTACCTTTTTCTTGTAGGAACTTGGTAAATATATATATATATATATATATAGAATACTCGTTTGAAAAAGTCTACACATATGATGCTCTACAAATTTCCAAACTACATTGAACAAAAAATGGCTGAAATTCTAAAATAAAACGTTTTGCTACTTAACTATAAAAGTTTCCAAAGTCAGTAAAAAAATGAACTTAACATATGCGTGGATTACTAAAGTGGAAACAACATTTCTGCAAAACATTGTTCAGTGTTTAACACTTACATATACCGAAACGATTGATAACACACGCAACTTATAACGTTGAGAGATTGAATATGGTCGATTCACTCATATAAGATTATAAAATAAGTTCTCCTTATGAACAGTTTTCAGTCTATATGGATAGTTAATAAAAAACAAACAAACTTTCAAGTTATCCATTTTTAATCGTGATCTTATATTCGTCAATTTATCTAAATACATCTATTTAACTGCAATGGGGCCGGACGTGAGCTGGTGGTCTGTTATCTAAAATATGATTCCGATGATTCATGGTTCGCAGTCCATTGTCTCAACAATACGTCTTGCACTTTGTAGTAGTTGGTGCTCCATAACAGTGACATTCCAATACCACTGATTGATGATTCAGTAATATTACAAGAGTTGACAGTGGGCTTTGGTAACTAATTTCCTTGGCTCTTAGTTCAAACTTAGGGACGGCACGTGCATATAACCCCTTTTGTTGTTCTGCTCAAAGATTCCAAAAAATAAGCAAGCTAAATGTAAAATATTTGTTAGTGCTGCGCAGGGTTAAGCGCAGTGTCTCAAACAAGCGGGCTAATTGTAAGGCATTTATCACTACTGTGCAAGGTTAAGCGCAGTGTCTTAAACAAGCAGGCTAATTGTAAGGCATTTATCACTACTGTGCAAGGTTAAGCGCAGTGTCTTAAGCAGACTAATTGTAAGGCATTTTTCACTGCTGTGCAAGGTTAAGCGCAGTGTCTTAAACAAGCAGGCTAATTGTAAGGCATTTATCACTGCTGTGCAAGGTTAAGCGCAGTGTCTTAAACAAGCAAGCTAATTATAAGGCATTAAACACTGCTGTGCAAGGTTAAGCGCAGTGTCTTAAACAAGCAGGCTAATTGTAAGTTACTTATTAGTGCTGTGCAGGGTTAAGCACAGTATCTTGTTTCACTAATTTACAATATTATCTTTATTTAGCGCTAAAGGAAACTCAATTAACTGCAAATTTGGAACGAAGAAAGAGTGATGTATGAATGATATAATTTTAGTAATTATAATGTGTTCGTGTTAATACAAACTTCAACTGACATTAAGTGAATGTTATATATGGAAGGAAGGTTGCACATGTTTTATGTTGTTGTTTTTAATTTCGTGCAAAGCTACACGAGGGCTATCTGCGCTAGCCGCCCCTAATTTAGCAGTGTAAGACTAGAGGGAAGGCAACTAGTCATCACCACCCACCGTCAACTCTTGGGCTACTCTTTTGTGAACGAATAAATGGATTGCCCGTCACATTATAACGCCCCGACGGCTGAAAGGGCGAGCATGTTTGGTGGGACGGAGATTCGAACCCGCGACCCTCAGATTGCGAGTCGAGTGCCCTAACCACCTGGCCATGACATGTTTTATATAAGGCTTTTCTAATATTTACATTATCCTTTGTAACGATTCGGTAAACGTGTAGGTATCACTACATTAGTGTTGTGCAATAAAAATATTTATTCGCTGTACGTTTGCGTATATTATATAATATCAAGTTGTCAAAACCAGACGAAATGTGCAATGAAAATACTTATTCGCTGTATTTATATATATAGCTTATGCAATGCACATTTGTCAACCAGCCAAATGGTGCAATGAAAACATTTATTCGTTGTTAATAGCCTATATAATGTTCACTTCTCAACACCAATCGAAACAAAAATTTTGTTTTGGTAGCATAAATAAGTTCACAAACCTTACATAACATGTTTTATTGTTTTATCGCTTTAGGCATCACACAAATTATGCTTTCTGCCAAGGATTTCCAACTAGCGGCACATGGCTAGGTTTCATCCAAAACCTTAACAAAAGAAATTATGATTTAGTCAGAGCTGTCCAACTAGTGGCCTGTGGCTAGTTTTCATTCAGAACTCGAGCAACAAAAATTATGTTTTAACCAGGGCTGTCAAACTATTGGCCCGTGGTCAGGCTTCATCCAGAACTTGAGCAACGAACATTATGTTTTATGCCAGGACTGCCCAACTACTGGCCTGTAGTCAAGTTCTAACCAAAAAACAACAACTTTTTTCACATTTTTGTATATTACTCACTTTTTTTTTTGTTCACTTTATCATCAGATACGGCACTTCTGGAATAAGATACACATATTATACTTATCGCCATTCGAATAGAATTTTAAAATCTAAATTTCTAGATTATTTTTAACTTGCAATCCGTTGTCACACTCTTTTAAAGTCGAACAACCTGGCCTCGTGGATTGCTTGTGTTATTGTTAATCTGCAATCCGTCGTTTCATTAACTGGCTTGAAGCTAGATAGACTTGTCATATGGATTGTTTGTGTTATTGTTAAGTTACAATCCGTCGTCTCACTGTATTGACGTTGGACAGCATTGCCTTATATAGTTTACTATTGTTAAGTTGCAATCCGTCGCTTTACTCACTGGCTTGAAGTTGGATAGCCTTGCCATGTAGGTTGTTTGTGTTATTGTTAACTTGAATCCGTCACCCCACTGTTTTGAAGTTGGATAGCCTTGTCTTATGGGTTGTCTGCGTTATTGTTCAGTTCAATCTGTCGCTTCATTCACTGACTTGAAGCTGGGCAACCTTGCCTTTATGGATTTTTGTGTTGGAATATCCACGCCAGAATTGACAGAGGAAAATATCACACAGAAGGGTAATTGGCTTCCAATTTAACTATTTAACTATACCCCCAAAAGACTTGTGGCATTCAGCAACTCCAGTGTCTAACCACAATTTTAATGTCACATGATAGAGCTCTTTTTCTTTTTCAATTTTTCAATTCCTCTTTATTTGGTGTACCACTAGCTAATCATACCACTCAAAATACGCTTATCAAAAAATCTGGTTCATTTTGGTTCTTTGTAATTGAATCTCCAAGGAGGAAAAAAAAAGCCGGTGAAAATAAGATATACATTTTGATATT